GCATGGGATTGGGAAACCCACTTTTTTTTTCTTTTTTTCTTTGTATTAAAATCTCCTTGCGGGCAGCCCCTATGGCACAGCGGTTTAGCACCGCCTGCAGCCTGGGGTGTGATCCTGGAGACCCGGGATCGGTCCCACGTCAGGCTACTTGCATGGAGCCTGCTTCTCCCTCTGCCTGTGTCTCTGCCTCTCTTTCTGTGTGTCTATGAATAAATAAATAAAAATCTTTAAAAAAAATTTAAAATCCTTGCTTGCTGTCCGTTTCCACCACTTTGAGTGTCTGGAGTCTGTCAGCACAGAGACATAACAAAACCTACCCCTTCCACATCATTTTTCTTCCTTCCTAAACCCCACAGAATAATAACTCTACACAGGTTGGCCTCTATATAGACCCCCGCCATTTCAGACAAGCTCAATCACCAGAGGAATAACCAGACAAGACAGAGAATGGATTCTATTTCCTTTGACAACATGGAGAGCCAGTAACTGTAGCTGTTGAGAACATGAAAGTTGGCACTAGACTGTTTGAATCCTTGCTCTGCTACTTCTTAGATTTTGACTCTGGGCAAGCTGTTTGCCTGGGATCCTTATCTATACAGAGAGGGTGATAAATTTACATTCAGGAGTCGCAGGAGGGTGAAATCTATTAAGACATAGAAAATTAGGGCAGTCCCTGGCACATAATAAGTGGTCTTCAAGTGCTCCCATTTTACTTGCATTGAAATGATCGAATCCAAGATTTCTCCAAAAAGAACAACATAGATCTCATCATTTAGAGTTCAAACAATGAGCAGATCCCTTGATCCCTGAGTTACAAGAGACTGCAACCCAGAGGAGTGGAGCCTAACATTAAGCACCACTAGCTTCTTATTTGTCCCAGACTACAAGTATTTTATTTTTATTTTTTCCTTTAAGATTTTATTTATTTATTTGAGAGAGAGAACATGCATGAGAAGGGGGAGGAACAGAGAGAAGGGAGAAGCAGGCTCCCTGCACAGCAGGGAACCCAGTGCAGGGCTGGATCCCAGGACCCTGAGATCATTACCCGAGCTGAAGGCATATGCTCAACAGACTAAGCCATCCAGGTGACCCCAGGCTACAAGTGTTTTAATGGACCATGGATTTTGCAACAGTATCAATCATGTCTGGCACCTGCCTCTGACCCTACCCTCTTGGAGGCAGCTACGAAGACAGTAAAAGGTGTTCCTTTTGCCCCTTCCTCTTTCACTTTCTTCTTTTTCCTATGACCCCGAGAGATTATGGGCTGACTGTAGTATTTCACCTAGGCCCACCTTCCCTGGTAGGTACCCATATTGCAGGCAGGCCTCTGGAAGAATCATAAGAATCATGCCAATTGTCATCCTCATGGTGGCAGCTGCCAAGGAGGTACTGTACTAAGCATTCTGCAGTCATATGCTTATTGAATTATCCCAACAATTCTGAGAGATAAGCATATACATGATTCCCATTTTATAGATTTGAAAACTAAGGCCTACAGTGGTAAATGAACTTGTTAAGATCACATACTCATACATAAAGGATCAGGAACCTAAGCACACAATTCAGTGGCCTTTGCCAGCATGCCCTTGGGCTGGCTCCATTGCACTGGGGGATGAGGCTTCTCTGGCTTTCAAGCTCCTGGGGAAAGAAGAGAGTTTAACTTCCAGAGGCAGACAATTGCTTTGTCCAGAATGATCTCCATCCAGACATCAGAGAAGTGACCATCATATTAAGTGAGAGGATGCATGCAAAAGCACTGCTTGGTCTAAAAACTGCTGTGTAAGAGTTAGTATCATTTTCAACACCATCACATAGTGGCTTGTAAGTATTTGTCGAAAAAACGCATGGTTATGGCTTTTCCTTTCAAAGAAGGAATGAAATAATGACAAAAGTTGGCCTTGGCACTACTAGAGACCTGTATTCAAATCCCAATTTTGTCATTTAAGTGGTGTGTGACCCTAAACACTAACAATAATAATGATAAAAATTGTGCATGTATACTCCAGCATCTGGACTAGTGCTTCAGCTTCTACTACCTTACCTAGTTCTCTCAGTGACACTTTGAGATAGATATATTACCCCCAGTTTACAGATGGAGAAACTAACTCAAAGTTGCACAGTTCATAAGTGGCAAAGCCAGGAATTGAACCCAGGTCTACATTATTTCTGTTCATTGCTCTGAACTTTTTAAAAGACTTCCCTTATCTGTTGAATTTCTGTTCTGCCTGTTTTTCAGAGTGATCATGATGATCAATTCCAATTTATATGACCTGTCCAGTAGCACAGAACATGGATTTAAAGGCAGGATGGAACACAAGAAACAGTAGTCTTTTACATGGAAGAGAGCAGAGGGAGATCGTTTATTAGTGATACTAAAACACACTTCTGTGCTTGTAATTTTTGTGATAGAGTCACCTCCTTATGGGGAAATAGGATTGTGCATTAGGATTTTTGCCACCTCCAGAATCCCCATTTGGCTGCTGTATCAGCATTATGTGAAAAGTCCATTCCAGACAGGTGGAGTTATGAAATCTGCAATGTGCTGCTCTGGCTGTAGCCACTGCTCCTAGTGTGAATATCTCTGCTCATTCATTAATTTCTCCTCTGGGAACTGGCAGTCTCTATCACTGTGTTACCAGGCAACCAAAACAGCACCTGCACAGGAGGTGAGCAAACCAATCAAGACAGTCAGGGGAGGAGCTTTACCTGTTGGTCTGTGATTGGAAAGAGAGCTCTCCAGGTTCACTCAGGACTATGGCTGCTAGAATCAGCAAAAGAGCTGAAGGGAACTCAGGAAATCCAAAACCTCTCATTTTAGATAACTAAATGGGGACCTGGTTGTGTGGAAATGAAGTCTTCAAGGTCACACAGCAACTCAAAGGCAGAATCAGGAGGACAAGTTAGATCTGATCCCTAACTGAGTGTCCCATTCCTTGTACTTCACTGCTATCATTTAAAAAAATCATGGGGGGGGGGCATCATCTATTTTAGTTTCTCTGCTTGGTGGTGTGGGGGATGCAGAAAGCATGTAGACCATTCCTCATTCAGTCATCTAATCATTATTTATTATGCTTCCATATTTGGGGCAGTATAGCATTGGTGGTCAAGGGCACAGGTCCCTGTGGTCAGATGGAGCACAAAAAAAACAGTCTAGGCACTTACCATTTATGGGAGAATTCAGGTTACTTAACCTTTCTGTGCTTTACATTTTCTCAAATCAAATGGTGCTAAGGATGAGATAAAAGAAACAACTTACTGTGTTGTTGTTATGCCAGTCCAAAGGAAGGTTCCATCAATGTTTATCATCCTTGGCAGTAACATGTGGGGCACTTGAGCTTGGATTCTGGAACCAGGCTGCCTGAGTTCAAGTCATGGCTCTACCTTGCACTCATTACATGATCATTGCTAAGTTACTTAAAATTTTTATGTTTTAGTTTCCTTATCTGTGAGTATGATAATAGAATATCATAGTTTCATTATGAAGCTAAATTAATTTAATATACACAAAGGATTTAGAATAGTTTCTGGCGCAATTTAAGTGCTCTGTAAATTTTAGCTAATGTTTCATCAACAAATATTTATTGAGTTCTTACGATGTACCAGGTACTGTCCTAGGAGCTGAGAGATATAAAAATGAACAAAATACACAAGTCTCTCTCAACTTTCATAGAACTATGGTTATCATTACAATCATAATCATGTATGTTTACTTCCTGATTCCTGCAGATTATAGGCAGGGGCAAGCGTTTGGGTCACAGTTGTATTATCTGTGCCTGGCACAAGACCTGACAAGTAGTATATATTCAGTAAATATTTGTTTAATGAATACCAGGCACTACACTAGATATAGGACAGTGATTCTCGGTGAGGGATGGTTTTGTTCTCCCAGGAAATATCAGACAGTGTCTGGAGATTCTGTGGTTCTTGCATCTTGGGGGAAGGGGGATCAGGTACTGGTAGCACTACTGGCATCTAGTGGGTAGAAGCCAGGGATGCTGCTAAACATCCTACCATGCACAGGCCAGCCTCTCACAACAAAGACTCATCTAGCCCCAATGTCAAGTGTGCCAAGGTTGAGAAACTCCAGTATAGCAGAGCAGAGATAAAGCCTCATAAAGACTCCTTCCCTCCAAAACCTCATGGTCTAGCAGGACCACAATAATACAGCACCCTGCTCTGTGGGAATTGTGACAGAGCATTCTGAGCACATACAGAAGAAGCACCTGAACAGCAAAAGCTTCTGGTGGAGCTGATGTCTGAACTGATTTTTCAAGGACATGTTATCATCTTCAGGCAAATTCCATGTGTGTTGGAGGATGTTTCAGGGCTTGAAGAATGTGTGTGTGTGTGTGTGTGTGTGTGTGTGTGTGTGTGTGTGTGTGTTGGGGGGCAGGCAATGTGAGCAAAGACTTGGAAACAAGGAGTTTGGTTTTGTTAAAATACAAGAAGCACGGGCAGCCTGGGTGGCTCAGCAGTTTAGCGCAGCCTTCAGCCCAGGGCGTGATCCTGGAGTCCCGGGATCAAGTCCCACGTTGGGCTCCCTGCATGGAGCCTGCTTCTCCCTCTGCCTGTGTCTCTGCCTCTCTCTCTTTGTGTGTCTCTCATGAATAAATAAATAAAATCTTTTAAAAAAATACAAGAAGCAGAGTGGGGAGCAGAGGCTTGGGCAGGAGATTATGGGGGACCCTATGATGCTTAATGTAAATGTTGGGCATGTTGTGGTCAGCAAGAATTTTCCAAAGTTTGTTCTCTAAGCACCGGTTATTTAAGATGTGCCCCAAAAGGGTCACAATCAAATAAGAACGAGAATGTGCTGAATACTACTCCTTTCCCCCATTTTTTTACTTACTTCCCCCCCCCTTACCTTTTGGAGATTTAAAAGGCTCATTAGTATTCTACAGTTTCTGAAAAATCCTGCATTAAACAGACTTGATTCATTTTGTTTCATTTATCCCAGTCTTCCACAGTTATCTGACCATGGAAACTTCTTTCTTTTCTAGACATCTATCTTCATGGAGTCTACAGACCCTCTTTGGGATGAGGGGTCATAGGAGAACTATTGACTCTTTTTAAGCAATAATCATGGCTGGATTCGTGTTTTAGGATAATCTCCCTGGCTCCTGTGTGGAGTGGATTCAGAAGGTAAGAAATATCTATGTATATTGTTTAAACGCTTGTCATGTTAATGTAACTTATTGATCTCCCCCACTAGACTCAATATAGGGAGCATACTTATTAATCACTGTGTCATAGTGCCTAGCTCAGCTTGGTAGAACATAAGCACTTACTGCATTTTTTTAAATGAATGGCTATAGTTTTTGGCACTATGCTAGATAGACACTGAGGCTGAGCAAGTCAGATGCAGTTCCTGTTCTCATGCAGTTAGCAGACTAGTGATTGTGAGTAGCCACTTTATACATGTTTATGCACTGACTAAATGAATACTATAAATAAGAGAGTGGCAAGGAACACAATTGGGGTGGGGTCTGGGAGTCTGTATTTTGAACTAGTTCCTTGACTACTTCTGATGTCCAGAAGCTGGTATTTGGGAATCACTGTGCTGTCAATCACAGATTGGCCACCTGACGTCACAGCCCCAACCTTCATATACTGGCTCTTCTTGACTCTTGCCACTTGGGACCTTGAAGCCCCTGGTCTCACTGCACCTGAGCCACCAGCCCACTTTCCTGATCCTGTTAGAATCCTCTGAACTGAGCTTGGAGCACTGTGGGTACTATATAGCACAAATCCTAATGGGAACCATCTCTACTTGACACTGGTGAGATGTTTGCTTCTTGTTCCCACCTCTCAGCACCTCCTCCCAAAACACTCATGACTCCCTCATGCATTTCTGAGTTTACAAGATTGTCTCTCAAGAGCTGCTTGAAGACAGCTATGTGGTAAAGCCCATTTATGTTTTGATGTAGATTTTGTACACATTAAATCTCTGTTTTGTGTTTGGTGTGAAACTAAAAAGAAGGAAAAGGGGGTTGGGGGAGGAGAAAAAGGAGGAGGAGGGAAAGAGAGAAGGAGGAAGAGAAGAAGATTGCATGGTCATTTAAGAGAGGTTATGAGACTCTTCTTCATCTTGTCCTGAAGAAAGTTTACTATGGAAATGAAAAAAAGTCCCTAATTAACTAGCTTGTGACAAATGGAATCATTGCATTAATGGTCTGGTTAGAAAAAGAATAGTTGTGACTGCCTCAACTGGCAGTTCTGAAATTCTGGTGTGCGAATAAGCTTCACCAGAATTATGTGAGAAGCTTATGAAAGAGTCATGCCCAGGCCTCATATGAGATCTTCTGAATCAGAGTCTCCACAGATAAGGTGCAGGAATGTGTGTTTCTAAAGATAGTCCATGGAGATTCTGATGTGTAGCCCAACTGGCAGGTGCTGGGCTAACATTTAGTGGGTGATGAGCCAATTCCCAGCCTGGCACAACCTCATCTTCTCTGTAAGCCAGCTCTGATTCTCTCTGTCCTGGGTCTAAGTCCCAGCCCAGTGCCACCCGCCGCAGACTACATTCATAGCCCCAGATCCTCTGCTTATGCCAGGGAAGGCTGTTTACACTCTTGGCTGTCAAACACTGGTCTCAGAAACCCCAGGGCTTGTTCCTATTCCAGCTGCACTCCTTGTGAGTCCCCAGCACAGTCATTTCTGAGCAATTTTTCTTGCAGCTGTCTCAAAGGATATACATTTCCTATTCTTAGAGTTGTTAATTTCCCTGATGATGTGCACATCATGTCCGCTCCCATCCAATTTAAACAGGTCATCTATTGACTGACTTTTCTTCCACATAGGGGTTAGAAGTGATAGTGAAATGCCTCCTGCTTCTGCTCAAGAAAAGACTGAGGATTTTGTTTTATTCCCTTTAAACTTTATTCTCAAAGTTTAAATAAAACTTGATATTTTCTCATTTGCCTTCACCAACCATTCCTTTTGCCTTTAATGGAATAAAGGGGCTTGTGTGTCCCAATCCATGTCTTTAGTAAATGGGAGTGAAGTTCTAGACTTTAGTGTGCACATCCATAACCCTGATTACTGGACCCCGCATCAGTCTCTAAATAAAGTAGTATTTATAAAAGTCTAATCCTGGGGCCCTGGGTGGCTTAGGCATCTGCCTTCAGCTTAGGTCATGATCTCTAGGTCCTGGGGTTGAGCCCCACATCAACTTCCTGCTCAACAGAGAGTCTGCTTCTCTCTCCCTCTGTCTCTCTGTCTCTCTGTCTCTCTCTCTCTCTCTCCTTCTGCCCCACCCCACCACTCATTCTCTCTCTCAAATAAATAAATAAAATCTTTTTTTAAAAAGTCTAATCTAGCAGTCAAAAGGAATTTTAAATTGTACTTAGCCCTCTTGAAAACCAATAATAGAAAAGAAAAGAAAAGAAAAGAAAACCAATAATAGGAGTCCATTTTACAACCTAGAACAACTCTCTAAAATCCTCTCCATTCTATCCCACCCCATGGGTGTTATAGAACCCATCCTCATGAAATCCCTCAGACCTCAACACCTAACCCCTACAGCTTTTATTTCTTTCTTTTCTTTTCCTTTCTTTTGGATCTCTAGACCTGTCTCTCTTTTCACATTCTTTCTGTTCTTCTGAACTTGTGTCACAAAACTGTAGTAACTGGAATAGCAAACCAAACCCTACCGATTGCTGAACAAATAAGAAAAATTGTTTAATGGGGGTGACATAGAGGATATGGAGGCTGGGAACATGGACACACTAATAAATCTTGTATCCTTCATGTATGTGTTTGGGGGTATCATCTATACTACAGATCACAGTTCTGTAGACAACCACTATAATAGTATTCCTATGGTATTCCTATAATCCTCCCACAGTAGCATGAGGGTGTTCAGACCCCTCATCATGCCTAACTAGAGGCGTCCTTCCTGCATCTCTCTCCCCTTCTCATCTTAAGCTCTTCCAGGTCCATTATCTGCTCATTCTAGTGATTACTATTATATTTCTATGTCCTGGATTCATGTCAACAGGAAGGCATGAGAAGTTGGCTGAATCAACAGAGGTCTAGGTTAGTATTTGTAAATGTTAGGAAAAGAGCACAAAGCTTTGTTTCATGCCTTCTTCTTCACTTTTCTTTATAGCTTGGTCTCCTGCTCCTTCACTCAGACCCCCTCCACTTCTCCTTTACTTCCATTGAATTCACTTCTTCATACATCACTGTGATTTAGAATAAAATATCTTTGAAGCAATAGCCCTCATAATCATGATCACAATTATCATCAACTGAGCAAAGAATGGCCTTAACAAAAATAAAAAAATGAAAAATAAGATATGGTTTCATAATAAACAGATCTACAAAGGATAAAAGATTATCTGCCTTTAGTCTTCTGTCTGGGAAATAAGTAAAGAGGGTACCTGTCTGAAGGTCCTGGACTACTTTATGTCTGGTTGGCATGTTCTCTATATTGTGACATTTATTGAGTCCTTATTATGTATCGGATACCATTTTAAGTGCTTTATACCTATTAACATTCTTAATCTCATAACATCTTCATGAGAGGGTTATTGATATTATCCCTTTTTACTGATGAGTAAATGCAGGCTCAGAGAAATTAAGGAACTTGCCCAAAGTTACTCAGTTTGAGTGGTAGCACCAGAATTTAAGCCAATCACTGTTAGAGCCTGCACTATTAACTACCTTTTTAATCCAAGTAACTAGCTGGATTCTTTTTATCATTATTATTATCTTAAAGATTTTATTTTTAAGTAATGTCTGTACCCAATGCAGGGCTCAAACTCACAACCCTGAGCCAGCCAGGCACCTCCTAGTTAGATCTTTTACCAATATATGGTGGTAACTATATTCCAGTGAAATAATTATATTTTTTGTAACCTGAAGAAGTAAAAGTTGGAGAAGGGAGATATGGTAGCTAATCTGTGCTAGAGATGAGATTTAAGGACAGTTCTTACTTCAAATCTCATGGCTTTTTTTTTTTTAAGGCTTTATTTATTTATTCGTAAGAGGCAGAGGGAGAAGCAGGCTCCATGCAGGATCCCAATGCAGCACTCAATCCCAGAACTCCAGGATCATGCCCTGAGCCAAAGGCAGACATCCCACCACTGAGCCACCCAGGTGTCCCATTTCGTGGCTTTTTAACATTTGAGTAGTTGAAGAAATTTCTTGGCAGTGACAAGGAAAGTCCTTCTTCCAGTCTTTAGGGGGATTTCCTTCATTCTTTTTCTTAAAAATCTGTATGTCAGCCCCCTTAGATGAGTCAGCCACCTGTGCCCCATTTCCTCTGCTTCTGCTTGCCACTGTTTTATACCATGTGGTAGCAAATTATCTCATTATTCCTCACAGTTCCCCAGTGAGGAATCACAAGTCAAATAGCCCTCATTACACAGAAGAGGTGACTGAGACCCAGAGGACTTCAGTAACTTTCCATGATTACATGCTAGTACTTGGATAATTGTTGAAAGTATCTCGGAGGAGAAAGATTTAGGGTGATCCTTATTTATATCAAAAGAGACTCCTTGAAGAGCTTTGCACTGGTTATTATAATAAATATAGTCTTGAGTGATTAAATCTATAATTCTATATTCCTTCACAGGATCACATTCTTTTTCCTTTCAGGCTCTCATAGCTGCTTTAATGGAATGGGATTAGTGAAACACGGCAAATGGAAAGTTTTTCTTTCATGAGCTGTGGAACTGTCCACCTAAAATGTATCTTCCAGACAAGATGATGTCATCCAGATTAGACATGTCCTTAGAAACTGATAACACACTTACTGGGAGTGAGTCACCTTCCTTTGGGACGTCAGAATTAGGCAGCATCAAATCTAATAAACACTGATAGGCCGGAAAGAATTCTAATGTACTGAATGATGTCAAAAAAAATGTAGTGTGTAAGGCAGAGTCAGTAGTAACTTGGATCTGTTTCTCCTCTAATGAACCTTGAAACTTCTTTCCACCCATGCTTTCAAATATATTAGGAAGTATATAGGGAATATGAAATAATAGATAACATTATTAGGAAATGAATCTTTCTAACTGAGTGAATAAGGATTCCTCTGGAGCTTAAACCAGAGTATTTGACTTTTCCTCAATTCCTATTTAAGGAATTGTCACCGTATTCCACATCCATGTCACTGAATATATACAGTTCTGCTT